GTCCAACACGTTAAGACACGTAGACAGTCTAAAATGAGCGGTTCTAAGGGCGTGGGAGTAGCCCAACGAATCGGGACAGTGACATTCAGAATCCAACGAGTTGTTCGTGATCCGATTGTACAATATTACCAACCGGTGTTCGTAAATGTGCATGTAAATGTGTATAAACACGATTTGTGTATTGCAAGTGAGTGAGAGAGAGTTGAGTAAAGTATATTTCTTTGTATTGATTCTTGCATTAGCCTTTTGATGTTACACAAGGGAAGTATTTACAGTGATATATGTGAAATGGGAGCCCTTGGATGAGGTGGCACGTGGCCTCATCTCTTTAATTCAAACATCCCATCCTAGGCATGGGGCTTGACCCGCTAGCCTGCTGCGCATTTATTGCTTTGTGCAGGGCCTCCATACTAGTGACAAGACTTGACCTTTATGTTTATGACAAACGTTCCATCAATCATTCGAATAAGATCTTTATGCAGACAATCTCTTGGGAGAAATGAACATGGAGGACACTCCTTTGTGGTTCGAAGGCTCTTGCGTCTGCTTCGAGGCTTCGGTCATTTCACACGATACTTCCGCTTGAGGGCTTCAGCTATCTTCAACTAGTTTCAGCATCATGGCTTCGGTTCATGGGCTTCGGCATGTGGACCTCAGATCCGTTTACAGGCCTCGGTAAAAAGGAGCCTCGGCTAGTGGACTTCGACTTGAAAGGTTTCGGCATTGCCCATCTCGGCAATCTATGCCACCTCGACTGGAATGCCACGTGGTTCACCCTGAGTGGGTCATAATGGCCCAGAGGAATTGGCCAAGTATGACCACACACAACAGGTTCTAAGGAATGTGCTGTTGAAAAATGATGTTTGTAAAGCTTATAAGCATTTAAAAGCTTTGCCAAACATACACTTTGTTGAGTTCAATCAAATCTCTGTTTGACTCTTGCTATGTCTGTGCTAATTGACCACAATAGACAAGATGTAATTCACAAACTTTATGGCAGGTTATCACGCTTTTGAGTGTTATCGAGAGTTATGATTTGGGTGATGCATGAATGGACGAGGGAAGAAGGTGCCAACTTCCATTTATTTTTTATCTTTTTCATCAATTTTTATTTGCTTGCATTGTGCCAAACTTAAGTAATTTCTTAAACTTCTTATAATTTGTGTGGCATTTGAATTTTTTTATTCATGGCTTGGGCTGTAGTATATATACCTTTTTGGTTTTCGTTCTCTTTGAAATATAATTTTTCCTTGTCTAATTGGAGTGAGTGAGTTTAATATATGGACTGCAATTCTTTTAGAGAGTCTAATTTCTAATCTCAAGCTTAATGCTTCAAATATAGAATTTTGAATTATCATAACTTCCACATTGACTTGCATATAGCTTCTTCTTGCACGGAATTTGAATTAGAAGGGCACTTATAACTTCCTCAAGAAAGAAAGGTGTTGCGTGTTGTCACACCTGGCCAACCTACCTGGGACAATGGCCCACTCATGGCGACCCACATGGCATTCCTACCGAGGTG